AGAAAAAAAAAAAAAAAAAAAAAAAAAAGAGGTGTTAGAGATTAGCAGGCAAATGGCATTTTTAGGATTTGACTGTTTTTCTTGGTCCCTTTCCTCTCTGCAAAGTTTTGTTTGGGATTTCTTATTATAGAATAAGTCCATGAGATTTCTCATGGATGTACTGTCAAAGCTGAGGGTATGCAAGCCTCTTACTCCTCTAGTCTAAGGGTAATGAACAAACTTATTTTCCATTACACTGCTCAATGATCTTAAAAGAGGTTATCCTAGTTCTTCCAAGTAATGTTTCAACTCAATTGAGTACAGAATCTTCTCTGTTCAAGGAAGAATTTAGAGCATTTCCTCAAGCACACCTGGAACATCTCTACTCCAAAACGTCTCCTCAGGTCACTGTTTTGGGAATAGTTTGGCCCGTTCTCAATTAGCTCTTCTCCGAGTTAACTGTCTCACTTCAGTTGACCATCTAGTAGGCTTTAGTGATTCAACAGTAACCCAATTGCAACATCTCCTGCATAAAAGGTACTATAGAAAAAGTTACATAATCTTTTCCTTGCACTTCAATTACAAATAGAAATATGATCAAACCAACCAGAAAGCTAATAGAGACAACAGTCCTTATTGCACTACCTTCTTCCCTTTACAAGCAACATTACAGATTGTGCTCAAAGTTAGGAAGAACGGCTTGAGGGTAACTACACTGTACCTACATACATGTTCAGTGGCATTCAGCTAGTCATTTCCATTTGCCTCCCACAGGGGACAGATCTATTGTCTCAAAGAGTTTGTGAAGAGTCAGCATTACTTACAAATCGATTCTCTTTGCCTTTTGCCTCTTTACAGGCTTTTAAGAGTTCCTTTTCCACACTGGCTGGTGTGAACTCAGCATTAAGGTCGTTTAAGCCCTGATAGAACCTCCCCAGGAATGTAACGCACACTAGATGGAAAGAAAGACAGACAGAGATTAACACCATGTATTCAAATCAGCAAACAGCATTTGGGAGAAAGCAACTAAGGAGAGGGTTTTGTGAATGAACTTTGCACAGATTGCATCAATAACCAAGAACAACTACTGAAACCATCCACGTGCCATAGTAAAACTGGTTTGACATACATAAAAACACTTCAAACTCTGCCTTCTTCTGAAGTGCTCTTAGATTTGTAATGCTTCAGCAGCTTAGAAATGTACAACAGCCTCCTAGCTAACACATCACTGATATGTTCTTATGCTACAGTGTTCCATAAGTCAAACCTGTATAGGTTACTTTGTACTTCATTACAAAGGGAAAAAACAAAACAAACAAACACACACACAAACCAGCTTTTTGCCCCCCAAATATAAGTCAATAACTAGAGATAAAACCTATGAAATACTATTACCCTTACAAAGTGTTGCAGCATCCTGGTTGAAAAAATCACTGCTCTAGACCAGGACTGTCCAACTTCTGAGTGGCTGTGGGCCACAGGACCCACAGCCGCACAACACGCATCACATCACTCAAGTCCCTACCACCCTACACAAGCCTCCCCCAGGCATACCACACAAATCCCTGATGCACTGCATGATCCCCTGCCCCTGCCTCTCCCCCCACCCACTGTACAACACATCCCCTTGCCATGCAGACTTGCCACACCAGACATGTCCAGTACACATGGATGCAGTACCAGGCATTATCCGTACCTCTTCCCCTTGTCTCATCACCCTTGGCCCCACCACTCTGCAGCAGGCAACTCCTGTGGCACCACATCAACATAGATGCCACGCAAGCTCCTTCAATCCCTCCATGCCTTCTGGCCATGGGCTCCCTCAGTCCCACAGGCTGCACTGATCACCTCAACCCCCAGGGCTGGAGACAGGCAGAAGCTAGAGGAAAGAGGGGAACCCGGGGACTCAGCAGGAGCAAATGACAAAGGGGGAAGGGGGCAGCACCTGGAACCAGGAGCCCAGGGGCTGCAGTTTAACTTCTCAGGGGCCATGTGTGGCCAATGAGCTGCTAGTTGGGACTGCTCTGCTCTATACCAAAGATCATTTTGCGCAAGGTTCACCATATATTCTTCAGCCTGCGATTCCACATCACTATATAACAAAACAAATATTGTAATGAAATGGAAACCATTTACAGGTTTCACTAAAGACAGACCCTTAAAAGGGCAGACTAGAAGTGTAGTTCTAAATTCAAGCTCCCTATGCTATGCAGAACCAAAACCTCTCAGCTTTAGGGAATCAAAAATCAGAAGCGTTCGTTATTTTTTGAGGGATGCACAGAAGAAATATATGGTGATTGGGTTTACGTAGTTGTTATATGCTGGTGTTAGCTCAGCATATTGACCTCTCTTAAAGGTGACAGCAAAGTTTATGTTTTGGAAGAATTAGGGTCTTTTAAAAGATTTTAAAGTTTAGCCTCAGATTTTTTTTTCTATATAAAGTTTAGTACTAGAAACTTTTAGGATTGCCTTTTCCAAATAAATATGTTATCTACCTCAAGGGAAAAGAAGGGGGGGTTCAATGATCAAATATCCATATTTTTGAAGCCCCTGGCTTCACTATTCAGAAGTAACGCACACCTCCTACTTCAATGGAGCAGACCAAGGAAATCCCCAGCAATTTCTCGGGTGGTGGCCATCTGGGTCACTTCCTTAAGGGTGCTGTATGGAGTTACCTGCACAATAATAGTATACTGTTTTGGCTGTGGGTCAAACATATTTTCCATGGTTTTTTGAGGAGAAAGATCCACCAATAAACCAGAAAGATACAGACTGTAGCTCCTTCCCAAAATAACCTGATGACCATAGCGGGCTTTAAAAACAGAGCTGTCCAGGAGTGAAAAGTAATTGCATCTAACTAGATTCCAAGCTGATTCCTTCTCAGTGACTTCAG